TGACAGGATGTATATAATTTTGCTGGCTGTCTTCCCTCTGCTCTCAGATATATGCTGCCTTTTCTCACCCTACTTTCAGCCCTAGGAGACTGACCTTTTTGGAACACATAAATGTTCCTGTGCTCTCTGGCTTTGGTATGGATTAAGCAGTAGTTGATTTGGGGAAGAGAGAATAGAGGAAGAGCAGGAGAGAGGTCAGCATAATCTTCCTCCTGGCTACTCCTTGCAAGACCTGTTCCAGTGAGGTATGCTCCTGAACAAAAGTCACTACTTTTCTGAAGGCATCCGAAAGTCTCTGACTCTCTGATTTTTGGAAACCTGTTCCTTTCCTGTCTTTTCAGGCCCCCCGGGGCTGTTGTGCCATCCATTATCATCTGCCCTATACCCAGAGTTTTGTAAATAGTCTTCCTTTGAATAAACCCTCCTCAAATTTTCCTATTTTAAAGGTGACACCTATTTATTGTGGGAACCCTAACACAATAGCATTCCTTGCTTTACTGTTCTAAAATATTAAATGGGAGAATTAAAACAAGAGTTACACGAATGTTTAATAGTAATTAAATACAAATATACAGTATTATTATTGTTGTTATTTGCAAGACATCTTTAGTGTTGTGTGAAGGAGCGAGAGAAACATCATTTAGAAAAATTCTAGGCCAATCATCAATATCTTCTAATATTAAAGAGTCATTCAGATTGTAGATACAATTTTTCCAGAAATAAGGCCAGGTGCAGCGCTCCTGGCTGTAATCCCAGCACTTTGGAAGGCTGAGGTGGACAGCTCACTTGAGATCAGGAGTTCCGACTACTCGGGAAGCTGAGGCAGGAGAATCGCTCGAACCCAGGAGGTGGAGGTTGCAGTGAGCTGAGATCCTGCCACTGCACTCCAACCTTGGTCTCAGAGCGAGAGTCCCTCTCAGAAAAAGAAAAGAGAAAACAGAAATAGAATGATAACTTCAGACTTTAAACAAGCAAATGGAAACGAAGAAAATATTTTGGACTTCAAAGTATAGTTGAGTTAGTGTTGCCCTGAGAATTGAAGTAATTTGCACATGAATCAGAAAACGAAGCTAGTGTCCTATTCAGGAAAAAATATGTTGAGCAATACGAAATAGGAAACAATAGATGTTTCATTCTATTCTTCATATGTTTTTGACATATTGAGTCATTTTCCTGGCCTTATCATGTGATTAATTTATTTACTCTTCTACTAAGTCTAATCTGCTGTGTATCTCATCATTTAGTTTTCAAAGGAATTTATTATCAAATAGTTCAGACATATGACAACATAGAATAGTGCCACAAAATCCCATGAACCCATCATTCTAAGTCAACAATTACCATTTATTGCAAATCTTACTTCATCTATGCCACTCTCATTCCTGTATTATTATTAAGTATATTATTATTATTCCTGTATTTATCTTTCATTGTTTTCTACTTCTGGAATATACAAAACAAATTTATATTTGCTTTAAGAACAAAAAGAGGAATTTCTATATTTATTAAACACTCCTGATTTAAAAAAATATCAGATGAAAACTTTCATATTTAAATATTTAACTGAGGTATCGCTCCTGTCCAGGATTGGTTCCCACCTTGCTCCCTGAGCTGCTGAGATAGGCGCTGGCCACCTGTGATCCTGAACTGGAATAGGCAGGCTGGAAAATGAATAAATGAATGAAAACAAATCAGTGTAAAATAAAAATTTGTAAAGTATGGGATAAACGTACAAATGCACAACAGTACATGACATAGTATGAACGTGCTCAGTGGCCCACTGTATTTGTTAATACTTGTTTTGGAATTATGAGTGATCAGAGGTGACTTTTACAATTTTCACTCTGCAAACATTTATTTCTTGATTTAATCCACTACCACTGCGACCGCTGTCACTCGCTGATTGACCAAGTATTTGGATGATGATCTTACTTATTTTTATTAGTCTTTTTTTTTTTTTTTTT